GTGTCCTGAGCTGCATTCTGGAACACAGACTGGCAGTGCTGCAGGTACTGATCATACAGGCTGCGTGTGTGTGCATCAACTTCCAGAGCTTCCTCGCTGGGCTCAGTCCTCTTCAGGTTCATCAGGAAGTCTGTGTTGACTGGTCCGCATTCAATCAGGCTCACACTGCAGCATGGGAGAGATGTAATGGATTTAGGATAGTGTAGCAATTTATCTGAGGCTCATTTTGGAACATTTAATAAGCAAAATTCGCTTATGCGCTTATGCAAATGTAGTTGTGCACATATAATACTCACTGGATATTGAAGTGCTGGAGCAGTATAGCCAGAAGCACCCTCACATATAATACTCACTGGATATTGAAGTGCTGGAGCAGTATAGCCAGGCTCTCACAAGCACCCTCTACTGCAAATTTGCTAGCACAGTAGACCTCATTGAATGGTAGTCCTGAGTTTCAGACAAAGAACATCCATTCATTCATTCATTCATTCATTCATTCACACACGCACATTTATTTATTCATTCAAATTGGGTTTATTTCTTGTTGCAAGCAATCTTGAAGGTGGCATATCATGAAAATCTGACTTTTCCAGATTTTAAGTGCTATAATCCGGTCCCCAGTGCATCTACACAACAAAATCCCCCAAGTTAAATCAACTCTGCTCAAAGTACATATTGTCCCAATCTACAGAGTGTTAAAGTAACACTGAAGCAGAGTTACCACTGTTGAGGATTATGTGGTAAGTTTTCATGTCTAAAAGCCTGAGCAGTAGTTGTTCATCTTCAACATTGTTAACAGTGGGTTTTCTTTACTAATGCTCAATCATTACTTCATTAATTGCTTAATTGTTATAATTTTGGAGCATACTGCCTTATAGATAACCTTAAGACTAACATATTGATTCTAACACCCAAAAAACTTTAATTTTGATTTCATGGGGACTTTTATCTGTAAATTTACAGCCACGGGCACCGTCGTTTTGATTTCACAAGCGACAACGGTGTACCAGCTCTAATGCTATGGGAAAAGTTTGAGCAAAACATGCTACCTGTTCTGTCTTTGGCTGCACAGACGAGCACAGAACACTGTTTAGAGTTCCAGCCTCAGAGGTGACAAGAGAGCAGTGGATTTATTAATTTATTTATTGTATATTGCTTCTGCCACACAGATCTAAATTAAACGTGCAATTTATTTCCCAGCTATTTACCTTCACAGACATAACCGACTGTTTTTGTAACTTGTGTGTTTTTAACGTAAACTTGTGTGTGAAAGAGAACTTAGTTTAGTACACGCATACTGTGACAGCCGCTTTCTGTCCTTGTGCTTCGGTTGTGTGCGCTCAGAAAACCGTATATCAGTTGATCCTTTTACTTAAAAATAAAAACAATATTGACATCAAATCTAAAAACCCAAATACCTCATTAACAAACAAAATTAGATCAGTTAACCTCAAAACTGTTTCGAGTGACTAAATCTCTAAAATGTTGATAATCAAATGAAATAACAAAATGAAGAATACCATAGCCGTTCATTAAATGTGTGATTATAGTGAAAATTACCTCTTATTATTACTGTAATAATAAGAGGTATTTAATATGACCTTAATATTAATATTATTGTTGTGGTGTTCATTGTTTTGCTTGGCTGATTGTTTGTTCTTAACGAAAGCTTTAAGATTAATTTAAAATGAATATAAAATAAACTCGAATCAATATTTCATATCTGTTTCATATCCTGATGGAACACAGACTGGCTGCTGCAGGTACTGATCATACAGGCAGCGTGTGTGCGCGTCAACTTGGGCTCAGTCCTCTTCAGGTTCATCAGGAAGTCTGTGTTGACTGGTCCGCATTCAATCAGGCTCACACTGCAGCATGGGAGAGATGTAATGGATTTAGGATAGTGTAGCAATTTATCTGAGGCTCATTTTGGAACATTTAATAAGCAAAATGGTTCTATTCGCTTATGCAAATGTAGTTGTGCACATATAATACTCACTGGATATTGAAGTGCTGGAGCAGTATAGCCAGGCTCTCACAAGCACCCTCTACTGCAAATTTGCTAGCACAGTAGACCTCATTGAATGGTAGTCCTGAGTTTCAGACAAAGAACATCCATTCATTCATTCATTCATTCATTCATTCACACACGCACATTTATTTATTCATTCAAGTCAAGTCAAGTCAAGTCACCTTTATTTATATAGCGCTTTTAACAATACAGATTCAAATTGGGTTTATTTCTTGTTGCAAGCAATCTTGAAGGTGGCATATCATGAAAATCTGACTTTTCCAGATTTTAAGTGCTATAATCCGGTCCCCAGTGCATCTACACAACAAAATCCCCCAAGTTAAATCAACTCTGCTCAAAGTACATATTGTCCCAATCTACAGAGTGTTAAAGTAACACTGAAGCAGAGTTACCACTGTTGAGGATTATGTGGTAAGTTTTCATGTCTAAAAGCCTGAGCAGTAGTTGTTCATCTTCAACATTGTTAACAGTGGGTTTTCTTTACTAATGCTCAATCATTACTTCATTAATTGCTTAATTGTTATAATTTTGGAGCATACTGCCTTATAGATAACCTTAAGACTAACATATTGATTCTAACACCCAAAAAACTTTAATTTTGATTTCATGGGGACTTTTATCTGTAAATTTACAGCCACGGGCACCGTCGTTTTGATTTCACAAGCGACAACGGTGTACCAGCTCTAATGCTATGGGAAAAGTTTGAGCAAAACATGCTACCTGTTCTGTCTTTGGCTGCACAGACGAGCACAGAACACTGTTTAGAGTTCCAGCCTCAGAGGTGACAAGAGAGCAGTGGATTTATTAATTTATTTATTGTATATTGCTTCTGCCACACAGATCTAAATTAAACGTGCAATTTATTTCCCAGCTATTTACCTTCACAGACATAACCGACTGTTTTTGTAACTTGTGTGTTTTTAACGTAAACTTGTGTGTGAAAGAGAACTTAGTTTAGTACACGCATACTGTGACAGCCGCTTTCTGTCCTTGTGCTTCGGTTGTGTGCGCTCAGAAAACCGTATATCAGAAGTTTAAACTAATATGGTTTAAAACGCATGATTTCAGCGTGATTTTGATAAACATGATAATCAGAACCAAAACAGACGTTTTTAGCAGGTCCCAGCTGTAATGGTGTAGCTCTATTCTGGAAAAGGGGGCGGGGAGCAGCAGCTCATTTGCATTTAAAGAGACAGGCCCGAAAAACAGAGTGTTTCTCCTTCCACTCAAAATAGGCATTTTCAAAATGATATAATAAATGATCTGTGGAGTATTTTGAGCTGAAACTTCAGACACATTCTGGGGACACCAGATACTTAATAATATGTCTCCTTGAAGCTTAAAATGGGGGAAAAGTGCCAATAGTGTGAGGAAAAATAAACTTACTTTAAGAGATATTACCTGAAAATAAGTGTTTTTATAAACATTTAAATTTTTGACACCTATTTTGTAGTTGTATTTCATATGCAAATTGAACTTATTTTTTAAAGCTGGATAATGACATTAACTCTGTAACATTGACACTTATCAAACTAAACTGAATCAACACTGATCAGAAATTAAGCTAAATAATGACACCATTGCCTTCTGTAGAGCTGCTTTACAGCTGACATTGAATTTATTTCACAACTGATTAATTATTATTATTTATTTTTTTTCCTTTTTATTACTGTGAAGCTGATTTGTCAGTCTGTGTTGTATAAAGTGCTATATAAATAAATGTGGCTCCATGTTCTTTAGAAATTAAAAGACAAGATCATTTTGGAATATTAAATAGGCAAAATGGTTCTATTTGCTCATGCATGTAGTTGTGCACATATAATATTCACTGGATATTGAATCTTATCTTTTCATTTCTAATGAACATTGCCACATTTATTGATATAGCGCTTTATACAACACAGATTGACAAATACTGATTAAGAAAATTATTTTTGGAATGAATTGCTTTCCTTGCTGCATGTTTTTGAAAAATCTCACTTTCTCTCTGTCTTTGAGTCTCTCCCTTCACCCCCACTAACCCTGAAGTCCTCCCATGCTGCCAGTCACAAGGATTCGTCCATGTCTCTTTTTCTTCATGTCTGGTAGGAAGGTCTGTATGGTGCGGAGAGTGCCCAGCAGATTGACGTCCAGGATTGCATGTATAGTGTCCAGTGAGTGGGCTTCCAGAGGACCCATCAGACCTACACCTGCATTACAAACTAACACAAAGACGTTGGGGAGGGAATTAATGAAATAATTGATCCCTTTGGTGAAAACAGGGCTTTATATACATATTTTATATTTTAGCAGTTAATTTCAAGGATGCCTGTACATTTAAACAAACTTTTCCCTTTGAAAGGCCAGAATGTCTTTCTTTCTCTTACCTAGTATGTCAATTCTGCCCTCTGTAATGTTTCTCTTAGCGTCAAGTATAGACTGCTGGTCAGTCACATCCATCTGTAGTATGGCCATAGTGTCTTTATGCAGTTCTCTCACACTCTCCATCAGCCGCTGCTTCTTGTCCAGGTTCCGCATGGTAGCGTAGACTTAACATTAATAATCATTCATACAGTTATTATTATAACAATATACAAGGTAGACTTTTCACTAAAGTTGACTCTATTTTTCAGACATACATGCATGAAAATAAACTGAGTAAATTAAAAAGAACAATACAAATGCATTGTTTTATGTCGGATCATTTACCTTTGTAGGCTTTTGACGGATTTGATGCGAGATGCACAGCCAGGCTGAGTCCAATCCCTGAAGAGCATCCAGTAATGAGAACAACTTTCTGCTCCATTTATGCAATAAAACATAAATAGTCCACAACACAAACGAGACGAGCGCTGCAGTGGTGCTCTGAGGTTGAAGTTATGTGGTCTGTCTAACTGCTGTGTCTCTGATTCAAGTGTTTTAGCTTTCTCTGCTATCACAAGGCCAGCTTGGTGCAAACATTCTGATTTCACACTCTTTTTTTTTTCTTTCACTCCGCAGGTGGAACTTCAAACTGACACACAGTAAATGTCAGCAGCTGTGCTGAATATTAAATTGAAGAAATGTTTACTAAATTATTTAAAATGACAAAATTATAATGGGGACTATTTATAATTTGATTGGGGAAATAAATAATATAGATTTTAATCATTTTTTCATCAATGCTGTGAAAAAATCGGAAGCTCTTTTGATGCCATAAAAGCATGGTATCAGCTTCATTAAAAACAGTAATTTTTAAGTTATTGAGTAGAAACTCACTCTCGGGGGCAACACCTATAGAACTAATCCCTTTTCCTATTCTGCTTGGAAAATGTTTTGATAATAGCTAAATCAATATTTTTCAAAAGCAAATTAATGTCACAAGGTGTTGACTGTCAATCTTTTAAAGTATTTTAAGACTTTTCTTTGGTGAGTCTGACAAAGCTGAACATCTGTATTGTCAACCTTCACTCCTAAAAATAAAGGTGCTTCACGATGCCATAGAAGAACCTTTTTGTCTAAATGTTTCCATAAAGAACCTTTAACATCTGAGGAACCTTTCCATTTCACAAAAGGTTCTTTGTGGCGAAAGAAGGTTCTTCAGATTATAAAAAAGTAAGAAAGAAATGGTTCTTTAAAGAACCTTTGACTGAATGGTTCTTTGTGGAACCAAAAATGGTTCTTCTATTGCATCGCTGTGAAGAACCTTTTAAGCACCTTTATTTTTAAGAGTGTTGTTGGGTTTTGTACCGTGAATGTTGTCACACTTATCAACGAAAATAGCTTCTCACCTGCACTACTGTATATTGCATTGACTAGTCCCTCTAGATAATTGTCAAAAAATTATTTCTGCAAAATTATAACCTTACTTTTTCATCAACATGATTTGTCTTGGAATCTGTAACCAGTCCTTCTGAATGAGAACACATTTCGTTTTTTTATTTAAAAAAAAATTATTAACAATGTTCATTATCCATAAAAGACAAACAAGCTTGTATTTACATCTTTACAGTATATACATGTTGACTAAATTAAAGTGGCTTGTGGTTAAATAACAAAACAGGAATATAAAAACAGCAATATCATATAAAAAAATCCTTGATCAAATTGTTACGTGAGATATGAAAGACAAAGTGACAAGTCCATAACTCTTCAGGATAAAATGTCTTGCTTTCTCCTTTGTATTCAACTTGAACTTTCGGCTTTCCTCCATCACTGATGACTTGGAAAGACCAGTGCTTCATGTCAGACTGCACAACTGGGTCATCAAACTTTCTACCGATCAGCCTCTTGGCGTCAAACACGGTGTTGTTGGGGTTCATGGCCACCTGGTTTTTAGCTGCATCTCCAATGAGCCTCTCAGTGTCTGTGAAGGCAACATAGCTGGGTGTTGTTCTGTTTCCCTGGTCATTGGCGATGATCTCCACTTTTCCATGCTGAAAGACCCCCACACAGGAGTAGGTGGTGCCCAGGTCAATCCCAATAGCAACTCCTTTTGCAGACGACATGTTGGATTAGACGTAACTGTAGGCTAGTAAAACACAAAAAAGAACAATCAGAATCAGAAATGTTTCTAAATTGACAAATACAATACAATAATTTGTAAATACAAATTATTGTGCAAATGCCACTTTCTGTCTGTTTCCAGTCAATATGACACTTCCCACAATAACAGTAAAAGAAAAGCCTTTTCTCGTACATATCTATATGTATTGTACTCTGATCATGACAACAAAATTTGTTCAATGCTCTTTTTTCTCTATGCGAAAAATTACCAATGAATACAATTTTCTAGTTTATTTTAGGAAGACTAGACTGCCTACATATATGTACATGTAGCCAACATATAAACTCATATTCTATGCAACATATCAATTACACAATATATTTAGCTTATTCCCTATTGTAAAATAAAGGTATACTTACTGTAGAGTAGATTATTAACTGTGATGAATTTACACCTTAGTGGAGTAAATCAGGTCAGACTGTTTTTGCTCTCTTTACAGATCGCTCCTGTTCAGCTGAGCTCAGTGTCTTTAGTGGCTGCTTTCGCTCTTTAAATACACCAGAGTGCGCACCAGTTCAAACTCTACACACTTCTGGAAGCGTCCAGTGAATCAGACCAATCAAAACACAGCAAGCAGCCGCGTGCCAGCGTTACGCCAGCTGTCACTGAAGCAGCTGAGAGGAAGTTTATGGACGATTCCAGAATTTTGCTGTGAAAGTACGATAAATACAATGAACTTTAAAAACATGTCTTTTCCCTATCATATTTGAATGCCCTCTTGCACAAATTACGGCAAAACATGGTAAAGTATTTTATGTGTCCGTGTAAATGTTAAGTCTGATTCGTATATTGCGTTAGAAGGCATTACTTGCAGTTATTCTACAACATTTATTTAAAAGCTAGCTACAATTTATATAAGAGCTTCGTTTTATATCTACGATATGAACTATTAATGATAATATAAACGATTTGAATAAATGTGTCATATCTTCATATGAAAAGACCAGTAAATGGCATGCTTAAACAATACTCAGGCAGTATCCATATATTATGGGCTTGTTGCATTGTAGATATCAAGAATATCAGTATGCTTACAGGTCCAAGATTGACAATAATAATAATAATAATTCCCTAGTTAAAGGTTGATGCTAATGAAGGTAATGTAGGTAGTTTCACTAATTATGTTTTATGTATATTTTTTTATGTTGTTTATTTGCCTATGTGGTGTTTTTAATATGCTTTTAGACAAACCATGTTCCAATCCATTAATCAACGCAATTGCTGAGTATTTTCTCCTTAAAGGGATAGTTCACCCAAAAATTAAAATTCTGTCATTAATTACTCACCCTCATGTCGTTCTAAACCGGTAAGACCTCCGTTCATCTTCGGAACACAAATTAAGATATTTTTGATGAATTCTGAGAGCTCTCTGACACTCCCATACACTCTAAAAAATATTGTTTGGACGCAACAAAAAAAATTACCGCAACAGTTTGCATCATTTTTTTTGGAGTTAAGGCAACTTCTTCTGAAATTAAGTTCAACTAATAAACTATATTGTGCTATATATACTTAGAAAATTGTGTTAAAACTAACAATTATTAAGTATCGATCCAAAGTATGATATATCGATACTGACGCGAGTATCGAAAGTATCGATACTCAAACAAAAAATATCGATACTAAGGTGTGTTTTATTTACCAGTGATTTTGTTAATTTAACCAAAATATAATGCGTACAATATGCATTGAATTGGACGAATAACCTTTGTTAGCGAGTAATTGTGTAGGATAGAACTATTTTCCTGCTCATCTGAACACACGCAAATGTTGCAAGACAGAACCAATCAATCACAGAGGGCGTTCACTCACTGCTGACAGTGCATTCAAACAGGGCTACGTTTCCCAAAAGTATCATAAGAAAGCATTAAAGCTTTTGGTAACGGCAGCCCTGAACAATGCTTATCAGAGGACAGAAGGACAGAGTTATTTCACAATAAACAAACTGAAATTGTAGCCTACATAGTTTGTGCAATTACAGTTATTTAAATTGAACGTTGAAATATATAAGGAGTATTGAATGTTAAAATGCATTTTAAACAAAGTTAAGTGCTTATTATTACCCATTTTACTCTTAGTAATTTAGTAATTTAATACATTTCATCATTTAAAAGTTTAGTGCAGAAGTATCGAATCGGTATCGATATCGACGATACTGCCTTGAAAAATATCGGTATCGTATCGAAAACAAAATAAGTGGTATCGCCCATCCCTAAGTTGAATACTCATAAAAAGCAATATGTTCTAAGTTGTTTTTTCACATTGTTTTAAATTTGATTCAATCATGGACACTGGTTACAAAAACTACTAAAACATTATTTTTTTGATGAAACAACACTTAATGCTGACAGGAAACCAATCTTTTAGCCTTTTCAACCAAATGCCTTCTGATTGAAACAGCATGTCAGACAATGTTCAGTGAGTCTGTTCTCAACCTAAGCAAACGCTCTACTCTTCAGCACAGTGGTCATCTCATAAAAACCACTAACATAACAGAAACACTTTTAAATACTAATATAACCGAACACTGAACATTAATACATCTTCTCCTGTTCTGATCTTGAATAGAAATGCATAAAATATAAGTTTATTTCTACATTACCGCGCATTATTCAGTCACATGCAAAGCATGCTGGGAACCTGAAACGTGAACTTGAAAAAATTAAGTTATGGAGCTAATTACATTGAGTTAGTACAGGGCTGTCCAAACTCGGTCCTGGAGGGCCCAAGTAGATATAACTGCAGACCGGAGATCTCCAAAATGGGGCGTGAACTCCAAAAGTGGGCAGAACCTCCAAAATGGGGCGGGGTCTCCTCGCGCAAAGACTTTCACCATTGGCTCTGGCTCCAGCCAATTGTTATTGACTTACATTTCTAAATAAAACTTTATAAATGAACATTGCTTCTAGTTCATCTAAAATAAAATATGCTATATAAGTAAATATTCTCCTAATGTAACATTGTTTCTAGTTCATCTAAAATAAAATATGCTATATAAGTAAATATTCTCCGTGAGAGCAGAGCCCAAAGCTCGTGGCCAGTGGTGTTCGGACCGGAGTTTGAACCTCTGCTTAATGATATAAATGGGAATCACACACAAGCTCTCCCGCGAGCCGTCCCAGCGCAGCGCAGGGAAACGATTTCACTCTATCGCTTTGTTCTAAGCAGCGGGGGCGTCCCGGGGCTCCAAATTCGCAGGGTAGGAGGGGGTAGTGACGCTGGGTGTAACTAAAAAGGTGCCATTGTTGGGGAGTTACGGACCAACTCATATCGCATAATCTTATTAACTGTTATCTCCTGAACTGCATCTTTCTTTACCACGCTATTCAGCGTCAATCCCGCCGTACAGTCAATTTCCCTGGTTAAGGTTACAGTTAGGTGTGGGGTAGGCTTAGGGGTTAGCATTTTTTGTAGCATAGTGTAGGAAATCAACACTTTAATTGGCACAACCAATAAAATCTTTAGAATCAACTGTGGGGCGGAGTTTGGACTGAAGTGGATTGGGGGAGAAAGTGCGCATGCGTGCCATGTGCCTGTCTATCAATGGGAGGAAGCCACGCCCTATTTTGGAGCTCCCACACCGTTTTGGAGTTCCTGCCCCCATTTGGAGATCTCCAGGCTGCAGTTATACCCTTCTCGGAGGGCCGGTGTCCTGGAGAGTTTAGCTCCAACTTGCCTCAACACACCTGACTGGAAGTTTCTATGCCTAGTAAGTCAAGTCAAGTCAAGTCACCTTTATTTATATAGCGCTTTTAACAATACAGATTGTGTCAAAGCAACTGAACAGCATTAATTAGGAACATAGTGTCAATAATGCAAAGTGACAATAGTAAACACTCATTTTTCAGTTAAAGACAGTTCATAGACAGTAAGAGCTTGATTAGCTGGTTCAGGTGTGTTTAATTGGGGTTGGAGCTAAACTCTGCAGGACACCGGCCCTCCAGGACCGAGTTTGGACAGCCCTGAGTTAGGACAACTTAAATAATGTTTTAAACAAACTAACACATATTTAAGTTGAAGTTACACACAGTATTACGTCGATGTAATTATCAACATTAAGATATCAGGACAACTCATTAAAAAAAATTTAAACTTAAAATGTTTAATTAAATCTATAAATTAGAATTTTTAACTTGCACTAATGCATTCATTTAAGTAGTGGCAACAGATCCACTGAATTATTTTTTAGAGTGTAGACAGCAATGTAATTACCACAATCAAGATCCAGAAAGGTAGCAAAGAGATCGGTAAAATAGTCCATCTGCCAACAGTGGTTCAACCGTAATTTTACGAAGCTACCAGAATACTTTTTGTATGCAAAGAAAACAAAAATAACGACTTTATTCAACAATTTGTCGTCTCCGCGTCCCCCTGGTGCCATTTTGGAGAGTGTCCACTGAACGTAATCAGCGTATGCTGTTCTTTGTCAGCTGCGTCACCCATCTCAGTGGATATTCTCCAAAATGGCACCAGGGTGACGCAGAGGAGACACATTGTTGAATAAAGTCATTATTTTTGTTTTCTTTGCATATAAAAAGTAATCTCGTAGCTTCGTAACGTTATGGTTGAACCCCTGATGTCATTTGGCTATTGATTCATTTCACAGCCCACAAGTTCACTTAGTAGCTTTAAACAAATTGTGCATTTGTAATTTCATAATAATGACACATAGGTGTTTTATGTACTACTGAGCAGATCAGAAGGGATAGAAATAGTCTTGAGAATAATGCAAAATAATGAATGTAACAGAGCCCTCTGTGGACAATAGAGCAGAATGACTGCAACAAAGTCTCCAATGTTCCAGAATCATCCGAATCATCTTTAGCTTTATTGCAAATCAAACACGTACTAATTCCCACTGGCTTGTCAACTGAAAAGAAAAAGAAATAAAAGGGAAAAAATACAAATACAACATTTTGGTACTGAAAAACACATATTCCACCAAAATACTTCAGTTATATTATCAATTGAATGGAATCAATTAGTTTTACATTAACTGGGCAAAGATCCTCTTATCACACACTTGTTTTAATCTAAGATTCAGTCATTCGTTTGATTATCTGCAAAATTGAATTAAAACCACGATTTTAATTTACGTAGCCAACAGAAAAATAACAAACATTTGTTAATTGTTTATTTACCACTACGATCTTTAATTTTGCCTTGATATTCGAATTTAACTTAAACAAGTTTCTACATGAGTAACATATAAATAACCTAGGAATGTTAACCTGTTTGTAGGCTTATTTGCTTTTAAAATACATTTCCGTAACATCAACAGTTGATAAAAGTTAATGTTTAAAAATAAAACTATTACAGATGAAGAGGTTCACTATAATTTTATGATCTCACGTGGCCCCAAAATAACACCGAAAACTCCAGAAATAGCTAGAACTCTTATGCTGTGTGGGTGGAGCCGTTCTACTGTGCCGCGTTTTGATTGGTCGAATTCGCTGGCGCTTTCGAGAAACTTCAACTGCGCTGCCCTGGAGGCCTGGACAGTATAAAACACGGCTGATTCCATCAGTTCGCCGTGTACTTCAGGAGAGATCTGAATTACTGCGGAAAGAGAGATAACGAAGTGAACTATCCAAGCAACGAGCCACGAGCCACAGTTACGCCTGACAGAATTCATAGAAGGTAAGTTAAAAAATAATTAATTCTACCACTGGTCGTTTTTATTTCTATTGGAATTTCAATACTAATGCCACAAACTTGAAACGCTTAGCCTACTGTAAATTATGTTTTTCTTATATGCATCTGTTTCACGATTAAGTGTCAATATAAATGTGATGAAGAGGCGCCTAATGAATCACTAATTCGAAATCTATTTAAGTGTGTATTATTAGGCTATATTTGTGTATTATTATTAGTATTAACAACAATAATTATATTAATAATAATAATACTTTATTATTATTAATAATAATTAATATAGTGTGAACATGCAAAAAAGATATTTACATAAAAACATTTATCTAAAGTTTAACTTCAAAAATAACAAATTTAAATGGTGAAAATGATTGATTTTACATTGCAGTGATTTTGTTTTTCTTTTGCTTGTTGAATACAGGTAGAAATACAAAGAAATCCAACATGTCGTCTGCAAAAGGAGTTGCTATTGGGTGTGGAACTCAGGCACGTGGAGCATCAGGAGCCGGTGCTCAGGGGCCCACTATTGAAGAGGTGGATTAAAATACCTAAGGAATGGTCCAGGGACTGATAACACTCTTTTCTCTTTGACTCGATCTTCTTTTTTTCTCTTTTTTCTTCTCTAATTGCACATTATATGAGTTCACTCCATTTTGCTACTGTTAAACTTGACACTACTTAGTCAATATGTTTTGAGTTAAAAAATAAGCTTGGAATTTTATAAGATGTGATTTTTAATGAATTATTCATGTTTTTTATTGTTAGATGTTGACGAATGTTGTGGTGAAACTGTAAATAAAATTAATATTTTAAATTGTGTGTTTTTTTTTTTTTTAAAGTTCAGTTACATAAGATCGCTTTAAATAAAATAACAGTAAAGGTGGAATTTACAATCAACTCTCAGGCAGTATCCATATATTATGGGGTTTGTCACATTAAAGATATAAGAATAATTGATATCAAAATGCCTTCAGGCTTTAAAGACATTTATAATATATACATATGCAGACATCAGTTTTGAGTTTAAGATGCAGCTTCTCTGATGACTTTAGGCCAAAATCCTTCCACACATTTATGCTGTAGTTCCTGACATAATCAACGGGGGTCAGCATGTCCTGACTTTAAAACAGACAACCGCAAATCCCTGGACCTCATGTCTGCTGGAATTTGGAAATGTAATAGGTTACAGATTACAAGTTAACCTATTTAAAATGTAATAATTAGTGTAACTAGTTCAATTGCTTTATTAATGTAATTGATTACATTTGATTACTTTTCAAATGTTTTCAACTGTTAATCATTTTCAAACATTTAAACTAGGCATGGTTAACCTTACAGTGGTACTCAAAGTTGCTTTGGTGCCCTGAATTTCACAACTCAATGTGTAAGCCATTCATATAGGTTATGCTACAATGCTGAAATAACTGTAATATTAGATCTGGCATGGTTATCAACCTTATTCAAGGAGGAAAAACTCTAGCTATATATTTTCAGTCAAAGGGTTCATAAATAGAAGTGTGGCTGATAAAGACTTCTTTATCTAGCTAGCAGACTTGCTAATTTGTTATGAATGGAGATTAACATCGTTCAATAAATGACTGGACATGCACCAAGCAATACAGAAATATGGTTTGAATCGCCTACTCATTAGGTGGGAATAGGCAATGCCTTTCCTATTTTATTTAATGACTGCTTACAGTTAACTGTAGGCTAAGTTACATACATGCAGATGCTTCCTCAGGTTCAACATTGAAACCTTTGATGTCAGTGGCACTTTAATATGGGAAAACATATTTTGCACTGAACTGTTATACTTGCGCCCCTTTTCTGATTTCTGAATTAAATCATTTTTAAATTTGCAGCACTGGAGCACATTTTTTTCTCACTCACCATGGTGGCAACTCTCAGACAGGTTGTAGCAAATCTTTCAATGGCAGTGGTGTGCTGCAAATTCAAACAAGAGAACCAACCAAAAGCATCAGAATAGCATAACTTTACTAAATAGCCTTTAAACGGCAGGAGGCAATATGCACATCAAAAACAGGCAAAGCAGCAAATTAATATTATTCAACATATCAGTTTTATAACCCCCCTTTGTAATCGTTAACATTTCAAGTAACTGTATTTTAATTACACATTGATTTCTCAGTAACTGTAATGGATTACACTTAGAATAATTTTTTTTATTAAATTACATAATGCTGTTACATGTAACTACTTACTCCCCAACACTGCTATTTATAATGCTATGGAAGATTTTTGTCAAAGTGTATAGTGAAAGCATAACTGACTAATCGGATCGTCATTATTTAAAATGCAATGCAAATAAATGTAATAGATTAATCTACCCACTATTCTTTGCCCAATTTAGTTTTATTTTTGTTTAACTTGTATTTTTAGGATTTGTGTTAAAACAGACCTGTCAGGCAAAACATGTAAAAGTGTTATCATTAATTTAAACTTTAAATATTTTTTTTTATTTTAACTAAAACTACAGGTACTCTAAACGCATTTTCATGATTTACAAAACGTAAAATAAAAATGGTCACAAATTAATTTTAGTTTTAGAACTGTATATACATTAAACATGAAAATGCAACTGGCAATAAAACTAGACTGTGCTAAGAAATTAGCAGTTAAATATCTTTAAATGATAGTAGTTAGCTTAGCACATTAAACTTTGGCAGCCCTAAAATACTAAAACTACAATAAAATAAATAACCAAACTAGAACACACACAAACACAAAATTAATCATCTAAAAAATTTAATCAAAATGGCAAAACGAACATTAAAACGAGAAAAAAGAAAATATCAATAAAAACAAAATGATTAAAAACTACAATAACCTTTCATAAAATTATTAATGCATAATAGCACATCTAGCAACAGGAGCATCACCAGACACGAGGTGCACATGCTCAGTCTGCTGCTGATGTTGTAGATGCTTATAGGATGATTATGATGATTAGCTGCTACTGTAGCACATTGGTGGACTCATTCGCATAGGTGAAAACATCAAGGGTTGCTATGCAACCATACTTGTGGTTGGGCCTTGTAAGGCCAGAGTCTGCTGCAGAGCAAGAGGTCGACACCCCTAAAGCTGAACTAAATATAACCTGAAGGGGGCAAAGAGAGAGAGAGAGAGTGAGTGAGAGAGAGTGAGAGAGTGAGAGCGAGAGAGAGAGAGAGGTTATTGAGTGAGGGTGTTAGGTTTTCTTTGGGAAATCCTCTGTCCTCTCTTCTTTCAAGAATACCCAAGGACAACCCTGCTATTATTAATAGTGATAAGAAGCTGTTCCCATAGAAATGTTCCTTCACTTCACTGTTTTTTTCACAGCTGTGACATCTGATGTACTCGCTCAAAAACATTATCTTTCATCTGACAGCTCCCAACCACCCACATAAATAATGTTTGTCCCTGCCTTTATGATGGTCAGTGCATCTATTATTTCACAGAGTGAGACGTGTCAAAACACATTAAATCATCAGTGGTTTCAAATGTATGGAAGCCCATTTCTGCCAAAAACAATAAATAATAAAAAAAGGTAACTGTAACTTTTTATGATATATTCATATAAACTCCAAATTGTTATATATAAAACTTACAACTGTGAGAAAAAAGTAAGAATCATGAGATAAAGACATTTAACTTTTTATATGTTATTTTGTGGTGGACAAAAAAATCTGAATTGAGATGTAAAGTCAGATTTCTTATAAATACATTCAGAATTGTGAGGTATTATCTTGGAATTGTGACAGAAAAGGTGAGAATTCTCAGTTTAAATCTGTAAATCTGAAATTTATTCTCAGAATTGCAAGTTGACGTCTCACAATTTCAAATCAGTTTATATCATTTTTTCAGAATTCCAAGAAACAAAGTCCAAATTGTGAAATAAATACCTTTTTTTTCTTGGCAATGGGTTTCCTATAATAATATGCTACTATTATTTTCACCCAACTTAAATAATGGAGGGAAATGTTTTATTGCATTTGCTGCGAAGATAAAACGGGAATACAATGTACAGTATAACACTATAAAAAAGTAAAACATTTAACTTGTGTAACTTACCGTAGAAATAATGAAATAATATTTTTCACATTTTAATTTAGATGTTGCCACATTTGGTAAATTTAAGTTACTTGAGAAAACATTTTTAATGCTTTAGGGGCAGAACATTTTTCAAAGCATGCAATAACTAATGTGATTGTACAAAACATCATTGTTAAATAACATAAAAAGTAAGAAGTGTATTTCTGGGTTCGTCTAGATGATCTTGAATGTATTCACGTGCCATCTGTGTGCGTATATAGAGGCGTTAGTCATTAAAGACTGGATTACGGCTCCATACTTTGGAGCCACAGATTCAAATAACCAAGAATAGGGACAGTGCCGAGAATTTAACACCATTCCTGTCCAGCACCTGTCACACACATGTACACAACTTACTGTACACGTGTGTAAGATGTGTGAAATCACCCTGGCTTCTGTATACATTAATGTTCATTTATGAATAAAACATTAAGGAAAAAAAGGCCACAGTAATCACTACTGATGTGTTTGAAAATAATGTATTTGTTAGAGGCAGTTAAGTAGAATTGACAGCTCAACCACTGTCAAATATTCCCAAGATGTTGTTCCCCCTTATTTTCCTCTTCATTACTTTCTCTAATTCCTCAAATTCACATTTTACTCTGTCACTTCTAAACTTTGTTTCTTCATATTTGTTTCCCTAACTCTGCTCTCATTCACCACTGTATATATTTAACCTTCAATTCATCCCAGCATCTTGGCTTTCCTGAGTCCCTCTTCTCTTTCCCTTGATCCGTCTTCCTGTCATCAGCAGCGTCTCTGTATGTTCCCTGAGCTAAGTGCAGACCTAAAAAGGAAGACACATACACAATGACAGAGCTACAGAAGGATAAATATACTCATAAAGTGAGGGAATGCTATTTCTTCAATCTTCCGGCACTAACCTGTCAGTTCCATGTGTCCCATCTCTCTCCAGCACAACATCAGATATCCTGCAGCGTTATCTTTCATACCTAGCAACTCCTTCTTCAGCGGGCTTTGCTAATAACATGTATTTACAGTATATAACTGTTATATTGTGAAATGTTAGTTACAAAACAAGTCTTGATTTTGTTTTGGGGGTGTACTAGAACAGGCTCTCATACTAAATTATGTATGTTATAAGTATAATTATTTTTCACAGATTTTACATTATTACAACACCTCTCTCCCCAGTTGGCTCGAATAGTTCCTGTATCAAATGAAGGCCTGCCTTATGAAATATGAAATGTGCTGTGATTGGTTAGCTGGACCTGTGTGTGTTGTGATTGGTTAGCTGGACCTGTGTGTGTTGTGATTGGTTAGCTGGGCCAGTGTGTGTTGTGATTGGTTAGCTGGGCCAGTGTGTGTTGTGATTGGTTAGCTGGACCTGTGAGTGTTGTGATTGGTTAGCTGGGCCAATGTGTGTTGTGATTGGCAGCACTCAGTGCCTGGTCGGGAAATGTCACGACCCTTACCATAGCTGCCTGCGAGCTATTTTTTTTAATTTTTTTTATTATGCAATAGAAGAACAGCAAATACAATTACAAAGACAAGTAAGAACAAAAGACAATAAGGGTTACAAACAATACTCCAAAGTATACTATGTTAGCTTATAAGACTTACACCATGAAAGAGTCTTACATGCAATGGAACACAATTTTTGGGGTTATACAACAGTTTGGATATAAATATTTGTTAACAAAATTGGAAAAGTCAACCCAACTTCAGTGTAAATATGGACCCTTTTCACAAGACTGTAAT